ACCACAACTTTAAACTTGATGTAAAAGTAGCTAACCCAAACTGTTTTAGGAATTCGCTCTCTGTCCGGACAATATACCGTGGAATAGTCAGCTTAGTGTGCAGGCTGGATCACTGACTCTATTTAGAGCAAGACCGAAGACTTTTATGGACGTTAACTAAATTTTAGAATATTTCTTAAATTAGCATGTAAATATGTTTTACAACTTTTAACCTGGAAACTAATTGAGATTGCATTTTATCATAGCTTGTAGATAGTTCTTATATTGTATACGTCATTTACGATTTTTATTTATGGGAATTGTCACGCTCAGGGATAACTTTACGATTTCCATTTCAAGAGGTATTTTCCTATTATCATTATTTGTATCTCCAGAATAAGGTATTGTGTTTTATTATCCAACTGCACAAAGTATAGTACAAATAACGCGCAAATGGAGTACAAATTTCCCTTGTTGTTTGTATTTTGACTTGCCCTACGGGCTCGTCAAAATACCGCACAACTCGTAAAAATACTCAGCGATACTACTTTTCTTTGTAGCGAGTCTTGATACACTCAACACAAGAACATTGACATCTAAAAAGTATGATCCTTGAACTATGAAACCCAACGGAGTTATGGGAAATGTTTGTACAATTACATAATCAATTCTTATATTTTCATTATTCATAAAGATCTTTGTTAACGACAATTCCCTTCTTTCAGAAAAGCGTGAATGGCTTATATCATTTACCAAGTGCAACTAATGGTGGCCATCATGTTCATGTGTACTCAAAAAGGTGTTGGGTCACATCGTTCATTGCTTACGCTTTTTAGGGTCAACGATTTACAATCTAGTAACTACAATTCGTAACGAGTGCAGTCATTAAAGAACTAGACCCTGTGAGCAGGGTAACTGGGATACCTGGATGGTACTGGATCCGTGGAATCAAGTGTAGTGATACTACGCGTGTCGGACTAGTATACTGAAATAGTGAGCTCAAGTCTGGCCAAGGGCATACACCTGTCTCAAAACATAGGCATGCTATGCATGCAAGAGTTATTTTTTCTAGGGTGGGTGGATTACTTGAAACATTGTAAGTGGTCTACATTCTTACAAAAGGAAAGAAGATTATTAACGCGGGAAAGAATGAAAATGTCGAATTACCTCACACACAGGTATTTTGTGGTAGATTATGTGTGTTGTGCGAATAAATGTAACCAAAAAAATAAACTGTATTGGTGCCACGGATACCTGTTTGTACAAAATGTAGACAGCAGACTGCAGACCGGATACAAAATATAGACTGCAGAGTGGGTACAAAATGCAGACTGAGAATCTGAAGAGTTTTTACGTCTGGTATATAATAACATGTCATCTTACAGCTTACCGAGCGTCACGCAATCGCTTTTCCGCGATGAGCCTTCACGATTATTTGCACTATTGTGGAAAATTCCTGGCCCATTTCTTGATGAAAATCGATCGTAATATAATTTCAAGCCTTCAACATAGTTGGTTGGTGTGATGTCTGAACAGATTTTATCAATGTAATAAAAGTAGATGACGTGAATAACAGTGATGGTAAAGCAAGCTTAAAACGGCAACAATCGCCAGAAACTACAACGGATACACAGGGTATGAGTAAGTTTTATTGATTTTACGAGAAAAATCTTCATATTTCGAAATATTTATCGTTGTAAATCGACCATATTTCGTTCCCTAAACTATTCCTTATAACGTGTTCAAATTTTCAACGGTTCCTAGCATAACTTACTCTGAGTCACACAACGCGTGACGCGTTCTTGAATTAATCGTTGGCTCTTTCTCGAGACGTGGCCTTGGGTTGCCTGTGACAAGGCAATTGCGTAAACAATACTTAACATAATAACATTATACACAAAAAAACACGGGATTTTGGATCATGTATTTATTAAAAAAGAATATCCATACAACTACAATGAAAAAAAACATAAGATTCACCTTTCTGATCGTGAAATTAATACCATTCGCACTGTTAACGTAGCTACGTTCCCTGGCATCAAGTGAATCCAACGTGGCGTCTTCCTTCACAAGCAGTTTGCATCCATTTGAATTTTGTTCTTCAGTCTCACGGTAGTAGTGTTGTTCAATAGATTGCATAGAGTATATGCAGTTTGGTTTCAGATTTCAGATTTTGCTTTTTACAACGAGTTAACGTTTTCAACTAAGACATTGGCATACTTAGCATACAAGACATACAAGGCATTCAATGCTTTCATGGCTTTCAAGCGTTCGCGATTCAGTCCGTTCCAAAATTACCGCTCAATAACATCTTTTTGTGTGGATTGGCCGCGAACAATACGACTTGTGTATCCGTCTATGAGTATTTTGAGCGTTTGCGCCATAATGCTTCAGATGATCGTAATCCAAACACATTGAAATGCAAAACGACTGACAAAAGAGTTTTATGGGCAAAAATCTCGTGTTCGTCATGTGATCCGGCCCTGTCCGTGCAGGACAACGTCAATCATCAAGATAGCACGCGTGATCAGCATGTGAACACCACATTGGATCACAGTTAGTTGTCATGGTGTTGAGGGCCCAATGACCTCTGGGTACTATTGCGCAATTTTTCCATTTTGTGGCGGAGGAAAAAAAAAAAAAAAAAAAAAAAAAAAAAGACGACAAAAAAACAAAGGCATTTTATGACTGGGCTACCACAGGTATCCCAGTAATAAGAGGCCTTCGACCATAATACAATTAAAAATCGATATCAAGCTCTTAAAAAGAGACCAATTCTGTCTTAATCGATGAAGAGTTAGTGAAATAAGTTCATTATAAGAAGTTGAATTATCCATTAACTAGACCCTGTGAGCAGGGTAACTGGGATACCTGGATGGTACTGGATCCTTGGAATCAAGTGTAGTGATACTACAGGTGTCGGACTAGTATACTGAAATAGTGAGCTCAAGTCTGGCCAAGGGCATACACCTATTTCAAAACATAGGCATGCTATGCATGCAAGAGTAAGTCTTTTGTAGGGTAGGTGGATTACTTGAAACATTGTGAGTGATGTCTACATTCTTACAAAAGGAGAGAAGAATATTAATGTGGAAAAGAACGAAAATGTTGAATTACCTCACTCACAGGTATTTTGTGGTAGATTATGTGTGTTGTGCGAATAAATGTAACCAAAAATAAACTGTATTGGTGCCACGGATACCTGTTAGTACAAAATGCAGACAGCAGACTGCAGACCGGATACAAAATATAGACTGCAGACTGCAGAGTGGGTACAAAATGCAGACTAAGAATCTGAAGAGTTTTTACGTCTGGTATATAATAACATGTCATCTTACAGCTTACCGAGCGTCACGCAATCGCTTTTCTGCGATCCGCCTTCACGATTATTTGCACTATTGTGGAATATTCCTGGCCCATTTCTTGATGAAAATCGATCGCAATATTATTTCAATCCTTCAATATAGTCTTCTTACTTTGCGCGCGAGTTGGTTGGTATGATGTCTGTACAGATTTTACCAACGTAATAAAAGTAGATGACGTAAATAACAGTGATGAACAGGGATGGTAAAGCAAGCTTAAAACGGCAGAAATTGCCATAAAATACAACGGATACATAGGGTATGAGTAATTTTTATTGATTTTACGAGAAAAATGTTATATTTCGAAATATGTATCGTTGTAAATCGACCATACTTCATTCCCTATACTATTCCTTATAACGTCCAGTTCCTCTTGTAACTTAACACTGAGTCACACAACGCGTGACGCGTTCATGAATTAATCGTTGGCTTTTTCTCGAGACGTGAGCTTGGGCCGCCTTTGACAAGACAATTGCGTAAACAATATTTAACATAATAACATTATACACAAAAAAACACAGGGTTTTGGATCACGTATTTATTAATAAAGAATATCCATTCAACTACAATGAAAACAAACATAAGATTCACCTTTCCGATCGTGAAATTAATACCATTCGTACTGTTATCGTAGCTACGTTCCTTGCCAACAAGTGAATCCAACATGTCGTCTTTCTTCACAAGCAGTTTGCATCCATTATAGTTATGTTCTTCAGTCTCACGGTAGTAGTGTTGTTCAATAGATTGCATAGAGTATATGCAGTTTGGTTTCAGATTTCAGATTTTGCTTTTTACAACAAGTGGACGTTTTTCAACTACGATATTGGCATACTTAGCATACAAGGCATTCAAGGCTTTCATGGCTTTCAAGCGTTCGCGACTCAATCCGTTCCAAAATTACCGCTCAATAACATCTTCCAGTGTGGATTAGCCGCGATTAATACGACTTGTATATGCGTCTGTAAGTATTTTGCGCGTTTGCGCCATAATGCTCCAGGAGATCGCAATCCAAATACGTTGAAATACAAAAGAATTGACCAAAGAGTTTTATAAGCAAAAATCACGTGATTCGTCATGTGACCCGGCCCTGTCCGTGTATGACAACGTCAATCATCATCAAGATAACACGCGTGATCAGCATGTGAACACCTCATTGGATCACAGTTAGTTGTCATGGTGTTGAGGGCCCAATGACCTCTGGGTACTATTGCGCAATTTTTCCATTTTGTGGCGGAGGAAAAAAAAAAAAAAAAAAAAAGACGACAAAAAAACAAAGGCATTTTATGACTGGGCTACCACAGGTATCCCAGTAATAACAACGACAGTATGGACAATATTAGTAAGGCAATGTTACTTAACGCACGACAGACTTAAAAATCTAATTACTGAATATATATAAAGAGAGAAAGTTCGAGATCTTTTGGTGTTAGCAATATCCAAGAATTGAAAAGAATGTATGAAACTCAATAGCAAAGGCTGTAAGGTTTCAAAAACGGTCGACAGTCCCTTTGTTGAAGTTTTCAGCTAAATATAAATATGACGCGCTCGAAATTGATGATTCCTCAGATTACGTCATCAGAAACCGGTTTAATCTACTTTTCATTTGTCCTGTCAGCAAATATAAGGGACTCGCAGCTTGATTTTGCCAGTTGTACCTAACAGAACTTGAAGTCGGAGCGAGAAAGAATTTAACCGCTGAAATAATGAATTATTTATCACGACTAAACAAAGAGGTGAATTCAAATGACTTCGCTCTGTGTTTTTACTGTATCATGCTCTGTTGAATTCCGTGATAAGATATTGTTGTCGATCTACGTGACATTGAGACGCGCAGTGCTTTCGTTTAATTCAACATCACGGTGAAGTTTACTTTTCTTTTAGGAAGTTTGCCACTTTGAACTGAAGCAATCTCAGGAAAAATACCCGGTTAATTCAAGAGTCTACGGAGAAAAGACGTGCGATGAGGAAAATGAGGTGCGACCGATGGGTTACGACAGAATTTTTACATCCACAGTAATACTAATTGCGGTGGTAAGTTCGTGTTTAGTTTGTTTCAGAAGCATTCAATATTTGAAAATTTCATGATCAGTCATGCTCTTTATGTGAAAGGATGCCTCAATATGTGCTTTCAATCGGGGCTATAGCCATCAATGGCGGCATTTTAAATGATTTTATTCTGTACCGCTCGACAATTGCAACTTAAGCGTATTGTGACGAGGGCATTAGCGGAGGCTACAGACTTTTTCATCACCTGTGACGTATATTCTAGAACACTCACGAATAACACAGGAATCTCATGATAGAGTCTTACATCACCCAAATGGAATCCAAAAAATTTTTTCTCCTGCAAAACTTACCTGGCAGGGAGTCTAATAGAACTTCGCTGTTTTTATGACTACTTGGAGAACGCTGCTGTCTATCTAAAGAATGAGGAGCAATTTGTAAAACGAGGCCAAACGGCTTTAGGATAGTCGGTGATTAAGCAATTTAAAAATTATCGCTTTTTTTTTCGTTCTTTTAGCTTCAAGTACGCATAGGCAGTTGCACTGCCTGCCAAGATGGTGAAATCACCTACCAAAGCAATAAAGCGGGAGAAAAAGACAAATGCGCCCCTTGTATTGATTGTCCAGATGGAATGGAACCATCAATTGCTTGTGGAACTGTCGCCAAGAATGGAACACTCTTGCACTGTGGTGCGTGCAGGGAGGGAACCTATTCAGACACATATGGGAAAGAACAGTGTACACCGTGTTCCTTATGCTCTGCCGGACGCACAGTGACTCGGAACTGCTCTAGAACTGAGAACAGCCGTTGTGGTACTTGTAAACATGGTTATTACGAGAAGGAGGTCGTTGACGGTCTTATATACGACTGCGAGCCGTGCTCTGGCTGCTGTTGGGACGGTAAAGACGAAATTGAAGACCAATGTAAAGCTCAAAGACTCCCACGGCATAGAAGATGCAAACTAAGAAAGGCAGACAATGATTGTCAAAGGATAAACATGATTAAACTAACTCCAAGCCCGACGACTCCACAACGAAAGTCTACAGCAGAGCGAAGAACAAATAAACTGAAATCTTTAGACAAAACGACACAACGGTCTTCATCGACAACACATCAATCATTCGTTAGCAGCAATACCGTAACTGCAAGTGCTGCATTCACTTCTTTTTTTCAGAAGTCAATTGCGTTACAGCGACGGAGAAATAAGACTTCCGATGAAGGTCATGGCATAAGTAAAACAACTCTGAGCGTCGACACGAAGAGACCCATATCTGTTTCAATCAGCAGCAGTGACGAAATAAGTCGCAGTATCAAGGCAGTTATTGGTGTTTTGGCATGTTTGATTCTTATTGTTTGCATCATTAAGATAAAAACGATAGCGAACTCTTTTAAATGGGTGCGTTGTCGACCGTTCTGCAGATCAAGGGACGCTGAACAAGATGAACACACAGAAAGCGTTTTATTGGATAACATTACAACACTGACAAATGTTGAGCCACTTGGAGGTTGGTACTTACATTAAGAATTTATTTAGCTATGAGAAAAATTTAGTTTTTACTTAGAATTATAATTAGCCTGGAAGTAACAGACTAAGCGCGCGATTTTGCTCTTCTTTAAGTATCCGGGCTATCGATATTTGACAGGAGCCCATGATATATTCATTCCAATAGTATTTGTCGAAACGGATAGCACAGTAATTGAACTTTTTGTAACGCTAAAGTTTTTATTCAGCCTCTCCTTCTTTCCTTTCTTTTTGCAGTACTCGTTTGCATGAAAGATTTGAAGTCTTGTTCACTAGAGATATATGAAAAAGTATGGAAACGACTGGACAAAAAGCTGGAAAACACCAGGAAGGGCAACTACAAGGATGTAGCGTCAGAGTTTAATTTTGAGGAAGAGGACATTTGGGAATTTGAGAAGGAACTTCACTCGTGTAGGTCAGGAAGTCCTTCTGAAAAGCTCTTAGAAAGCCTGGAAGCTAAAAGGCCTAATCTAACCGTATTAGAGTTTATCAAAGTATTGCAAAAATCTACAATACAGAGGAAAGACATTATTGAACTGTTGGAAAGTCATATTTATAGACGTCCTAGGATAATGAAAAATTATTAAAAGTGGCCTGGATTTGCGTTCTTCGTAGAGATTTGCAAGGCTAGCGGCCTTGAATGTGAAGCTTACTTTTCCTTACGATATGGACACGATCGCGCTGCATATTATATACGTACTAAAAATATTTAGGTGAATATTAGAAATTCTGAAATGAGTTACAAATGATTCAATTCTTGTACAAGCAATTAAAGCGAATGGAAATTTGGACATAATATTTATCATATTTATCAAGCAAATTAAAAATAAAAGCAAAAAAAAAAAATTCTCGAATCCATGTATTTTTTTTTATGGTCATTAGACGATCACCCTGTTCTGTTGTCAAGCACGCAGGAAGCGGCTAGAGCACGAAAGAAGTTTAGGGAGAAACACGAGACGTAGTCGACGTAGTTGAGTGTTTCTCCCCACTTCTTTAGTGTTCTAGCCGCTTCCTGAGTGCTTTACAACGTAACAGAGCCAGTCGAGGCTTCTCTATTTGTTTTGTAATAAAGAATTCGTTAAATTCCCACGCATTACTTTCAATTTTTTTTAAAAAAACTTTATTCCTAAAGCGAACAACAGCGTCGTCAGCATGCTCTATACTCTCATAAAGCACGCTACACTAAGACAATCAGAATCCTTGTTAAAATGTTTCAAATAATCTGATTGGTTGAACGAGACTAAAGCTGTCAAAAATGTCAAGCCATCAAAGTTCACAATCTGCAATAGTTTACAAACTGAAAGAGTTCGTCAGGTCGAATTTATCTCTTTTGCTTGAAGTTTTTTAAGTCTCAAACACAGAATCTAAAAGTGAAATGGTCAGTGAAATCCGGCCGAATTGAAGCTCATAACAACACTCGAGTTTTTTCACATGACAAGTAGAAAACAAACAGCGTAAGGAGCGTGTTTTAGGAATGAACCACGGTTGAATTCACAGGAACATAAAGATTCCTCGGGATGACAGCGCCGTAAAATTCAGCTACTGTGACAGATGTGGCCCTCCACACAATGCATCGTTTCACTCGAAAGGGCGGCCGATGTAATTTCTGAGGCTTGCTTGACTACGAGGACCGGAGATCGCCAAGACGAGGTAGCCGTGATGGACCTCAGCATGATCGCAGTCGCTCTGACACCGTTATGATTATTTTGAATTTTAATCGCTATGTCATTTTGGCGATATTTTTCATCATTCCTGTTTTTTTCTGTCTTGTTTTTGAACAGAAACTATATAAGCTACACAAGTGATAGCTGTATTTGATTTTTATTACCGTATGTAAGCTTGCAACCTAACTGAGCGTGAAAACCATCAAAACTTGGACAGTCCATTTCGTTTCCTCTTTGAGGAATTTCGTCTCTGTTTATATTATAATAACGTAAATTACGGCGCTTGGCTTGTTTACAAACCCTTGTTTGGTTCTGTACCAGATCCCTTATTCCGGCATTCCTTTCAATTAAGGAAAAAAGGAAGGGAGAAGTACGGGAAATTATGGTCGGACATAATTGAATTCGACAGATGGCGTGATATGTACGCGAAACAAGACATTGTAAGACTCTTTGACGGGCTTTGATCCTTAAAATTAATTCGTATTAATTTCCTTAAGGCTGCTCCTCAATCCTCTAAAACATCATTTGTTCAGATGTATCACCAAAATGTGAATTAGAACATTCTCGTACCCACTGGGAATATAATTTCACCAATTGCTATTAGTTTACAACTGAAATTAAAATGACTTTGATAAGTTCTCTTTACGGTGATGCTTTTAACTAACTTCTGTGATGAAATGCTCTGGTATGGGTGAACGTGGCATTTCACTAGATAAAGTTTACTTCACTTGCAGATAGTTTACTGCTTGCAAACGAAATAATTTTTCAAAAGGATACCCGGCTAAACTGACAAAGTGACCGTGAGAAAAACGAGGTCTTCACTCTTGAGATGCGACAGAATTATGATAACGATAGAACTATTTCTGGCTGCGGTGGCCCTTGGTAAGATCGTCTTTAGATTGAACCATAAGCAAGCAGTAGTTTTTGTAAGAAGGGACGCTTCGTTGCCTTTTTTTTCATCTCAGGTTAATAGCCACTAATAATTGTATTTGATGAGATATAATTCCGAACTTACCGTAACGTGAGAAGGGCATTCAAGTTGGTCACAGATTCCTTCATCATGCAAAAGAGGCAAGGCGGGGTGGAAGAGCTGGAATATGCAAGGCATCGGCACGCAATAGATGGGGTTGGCCGGATAATGTGACGGCCTCATGCGCGTACTGCTTTTGTGCCCCATTAAAACTGAACAAAACAAGGCAACAACGAACGAAGAACCCTTTCATGTATCCCCCCTTAAAATAAGTGCGTAGAGCGTACTACCACCCGTGTTTTGCGTTACTTGACCCTCTCTGTGTGTTATAATCATTTTGGACAATAGTTTCTAGATTGGTCCAGACATAGTAAGCGCGTAATTTGAGTCGCAACCCACAACCTCCCACGATATGGGGTCAGTTTCATCGATCACTTAACACCTATGCTATTAAATACGTGTTGTCTGGGAATAGGCTTGGGCCCATGCATGGGGAATCCCCCGAATGATGTCTTCAAATCACATCGTCTCGATAGAGTAGATCTAAGTTAGAAGTCCGGGTGTAGGCTCTAGAAGACTAAGTTTTTTTTTCAAAAATCCTGTCAAGTGTTCATTGCTGCTGTATCTGTATCGATTGCCTACCACAAGCACAGAAAGTTCGATTGTCTTGAAGATACGCACTACACAGGCGGACTGCTCAGTACAGCGAAGAGCGACAAGTGGCGCGCACGCCTTCTGTGAGTGAGCTACTCATTTCTGTTAGCATCTGTTACTTCCTCGTGGAAATCCGTAAAGTATTAGACTCTAAAATGGGAGAGCTATTGTTACACATTGCACACTCGGACTCAGCAAATCCGACATCGAGTGGGGTATCTACCGCAAAGAAGGATGCTATCATTGCCATTTGTTTTGTTGCGCTGGTGAGTAAAGCTTTCATCCTTTTTGTAATAAAACGATAAGCCCACGAAATTCTAACAAATCTAACCATAGTTTTTTTCTTTCGTTGCCTCCATTTGCGGTTGAATTTAAGGGATGGTAAAACATGTGCTTAGTCATCATTTAAAGCAAAAGTGCTTCGTCATCTAAAAACTTGGGCGTCTTAAATCGGCGAAATATCGTAATGCTTCTGCTCGAATACATTTTCCGTTTGAAATATGACCACCAAATGGTTTTTGTTTCCTACATTCATTCATTCCTCGTTGTTGATTATTATGTTTTTCACTGTTATATTTTTTCGTGTCGTACTAGTTGGCGATGAAATGAGATGCCCATGCAAACCACAATCTGCATTACAAAAATTTGAAGCTTTTTGTCAGATACTGTGATTCCAACGTTCATATCCTACACTTACTGTAAACGTATGATGCATAATATTCCTTTGTGCGCAAATTAGCTCTCCAAGTCGGCATAATACCTTCGGCTCGCGTTTGAAGAACATAATAATTTTGCTGACCACTGTGGTTGTAACACAACGCTTTTGGATTGCTCAGCATTTCACTCGTATTGCACAATACATTACGTGCATTTAGAAGACAAAGATTTAAAATAATTTTTGGTCTTTAGACTAATTAAACATTGAAGTATAAATCGCCAAAGTGCGAATTTTTACATTGAAAATGGCGTCCAATCTCACGCTCAAACTGGCCGCAAGACATCTAGGTCAAAAAAAGAAAATGACGATGTTTATATAATTAGCCCATGGCTTGGTGCTAGATTTATATAACTTAACAACAACAAGCCATGAACTGATTGATCAGTGTCACTGGTAACTCCTTTTAATATGTTTGAATTATGCAATTGAGATATGTTTCCGATCGTATTTGCAAACGTTTTGTTTGCTTTTAATATCATGTGACATAAAACTAGATAGGTATCGAAATCGAGTTGTGACATTCACAAAGAAAATCATCGATGACAAACATTTTGTCACGGATTGGACGCTCGCATAAGTCAGCGAAGTACCCCAGAAAGGTTTTGGTGTAGGTGAAATCTATGTTGAAGTGTTATATAAACTTGGATAACATTTGATTGTGTCGCTTCTTGCGTAAGCAAGGTTTTCTCTTGACGGGAAATGTACGTTATGTTTACGTCAAATCCAAAAATAAGTCGAAAGCGAGATTGGCATTTTATTTTTCTCCACAGAGCTTACATTTACGACAATTACTCTTACGAGTGTCAATGTAGAGCGGGGTTGTTCTTAGACAAAACTCAGGATCGTCGGTAACAGCAGCAAACTGTTTTATTTCCACGTAGTTGACTTCTCGACTTTACAGCACTAAGCTTCCTCACATTTACACACACCCGCACACACTTCTTCTTTTTTTGACGAAACTATCGCTTTTATAAACATAAAGTCCAAGGATCTAGAAACGTCTCTAAAGAACTAAATTAAGAAGATTAACACGGTTTCTAAACCTGTGTAATTGCATAAGAAATAGAACAGTATAGAATGTTCTTATACAAGAAGGTCACGGCTGGATGACTTCGGGTTCTAGACTGTTCTGTAGAATGTTCGAGGACTTAATTTAGACAATTTTTCGTAACAATTACATTAATTGTAACTTTCAATCTTTATTTTATGAAAGTGGGCATAGATCTTTTCATAGCTATCTGTTTTGAGAAACAGGTTGATCTTTCTTCTTTTTTCTCTAACAGCTTTGTAGGACTGGAGCAGATGTCCTGTGCAAGCCAGATCAAATAACGTTGACTTATACCGGAAAGGTGGGATATCAATGTTTAGATTGTCCCACATGTCCCCCCGGATCGCAGCCTTCTGTTCCATGTGGATCCACTATCGAAAACTGGACAGCCATTCACTGCGTTCCATGCCCACTTGGAAAAGCATTTTCTGACAATTATGATAAAGCTCAGTGTGCAGCTTGTTCCGTATGCTCGACAGGGAAGGCAGTACTAAAGAACTGCACTCGTATCTCAAACAGCAAGTGCAGTAAATGCAGAAAAGGATATTACTATGAGTCTTTTTCATTTGCCTGCAAGCCTTGTGCGGAATGTTGCGGCGATGGAAATGATGAATTCGTCAAAGAATGCGAACGCTACGATCACAAATGCCAAGTTAGGCCCACGCCATGCAGCCACACTCAGACAACTCCTTTGGGAACAACAACGCCTACTGGAATTGTGCCAACAACTCAGGAGACACGCCTAACTGTCATGTACAACAAAAAAATGACAGGACACAGAAAAGAGAAAGACTTACCTTTTAATGAGTTAAAAACGTCATTGAAACCAACTCAGGTTGATTATAAGGCCCCAGACAAAGAAGGAGAGTTTGAGAATGCTGTTGGAACTGAGATTTCGTCCGTAATAATCTTGTTTGCGGTAGTTGCTGTACTTTGCATAGTAGTTCTTGTCTTGATCATCCTTAGGAAATTAATTAGACTACGACTTTCACTGAGGCATCCAAGAGAGGTGGATTCGAGTGATGTTGACAATTATTCTTCTCACGGAAGAACACGGTCTGTGTCTAATCAGTCCCAGTCCAGTGATTTTGCATCTCCTCTTCTCCATCCAGCAGCACTCTCTAATAATAATTCGTCTACACTACATCAACAAAATGGATTAGCACCAAATGCGCTAATGGAGTCTGGAATATCTCTGTCACGTGAACCAGCATCACCATTCCAAGTTGGGTCTGAATTCTCCCTTCCAAACCATCCGGAGCCCCATCGTCCTCTCCAGTCTGAGCCATCTCAGTCTGAAGCAACTGAAGTAAGTGGATCTACGTCACCTCTTCACATCTTGACTGATTCATCTGAGAAAACTGGGTTATCACCTCTAGTAGGTCTGTCGAAAGAGGCACCGACTCCAAACCCTTCCAATTCATCTGAACCCAACCAAGGTGCTTCTTCTTTGACCAGTGCCTGTCGATCAACTCATTTAAGAGAGCCTGAATCATCTCATCCAGGTCACTGTGATTCGCCCCAAGCCGATCTTCACTCTGTTTCGTCCTATCCTACACGATCACCATCTCAGGGTAGTAGAAGTGCGTCTTCACAGCCCTCTGATTCCTGCTCACCTATACAAGCTGAATACACATGTACATCAACGACTGGTGAGTTAATCAGGAGTAGAACAGTCGTGTTTTGTTATGCTTTTCTTCTAGTTCTCATTCTCCGGAAAGTTAACCTTGAGGCATATGCGGACATTTGTAACGATGCAGTACCACCTGTATCTTCCCCTGAAAATTTGAAACAGAGAAGCAATTTTCAATCTCATACACCTTTACTTGACTCAAGCAAATATGAAACATTCATAAAGTAATTAATTCTCCGAAAGTGATAAAGAAGTAACTGTTACCCTGCAAGAAATTTATTATTCATACTCTTGCGCAACGATGGCTTGACTGTACTTACAATATTAATTTTGGTTCCTAGGTGGTATGACTCTTGAAAAGCTGGATGAAAATCATGTAGAAATATTTGATTGGATGTGCATGAAACTCGATCAAAAAAGATCAGGTACGCGTTATGACTTTGAAAGTTTGGCTAAATGCTACAAACTTTCGCCCACAGTACGAGGCTCTTTGAAACAAGAGTACCACCACGGAGGCAGTCCTTCTAGTGCTTTGATGGATCACATTAAGGCCAAACACCCAAATCTGCCCATTCATCAACTTATTGAAGACCTGGAAAAAATAGGAAGGAAAGATATAGCGGAGGGATTAAAGGCAGAAGTGTTTCGAAAAGATGACAGTTCACCAACACTAGACCGTTCACCTCGTGTCAATTGCTAGAGAAAGAATAACTTACTAATAACGCGTCGATCAACTGGAAGCTTCAGCATTCCCCCCAGGCAACCCTCAAGACATTTGAACTTTTGAAAATTGGAAAGATCAAATCTCCCACTGAACCAAAATTGCGTTCAAATGCCCCACCCAATAATGAACGATTCTTCGCGTGATCACCGAATGTTGTAGAATCAAACAAAGTAGGGTTTGGTGTTGCAATTGAATGTTTCGCTTGGAAGTATCAATCTATGATGTAAAAATTATCTTTCTGAGCCATTTGCTTGCGAAAGCGGACTCTTTACCTTTACACTCCTAAAACAGGTGTATAACGCCGGAAAGACTTGACATTTCCGGTTCAAACGCCCCACCCCACCCCACACAGGCAAGGTTCGAATTTCCCACCCACCGGTACAGACAGCAGTCAAATGCCTGTTGGTTGTAGGCTCTTACCGATAGTGCTAGCACTTTTTTTTGGTATTATTTGGCTTCGCGAGCATTTTTTTTTACGTTTTATCCCAAAAAGCACTGCTAGCATTATTTTGGATTTTCGACTGATTATTTGTATAATTTTGTGATAAAAAGCACAATCTGACTTTATTTATGTCGTCCAAAGCCGCATTTTGCCCTTATTTTAGTCAAAGGAGCCGAGGAGGCCTGGGGAATAGATTTGATAGGTCAGCGGTTGCCTTCTAGAAACCCAGTCCATCACACTCGTTCCAAGATGGCGTCATCCACGTTGTCATCGAGAAACAATGGAAGTCAGCCAGCCAAGGCAGATGGCTCGAGAGAGTACTCTGCCATCAATCAGAGGAAAAAATAAGACTATAAGAATATTCTATGTTTAAAAAAATAGGAAAAAAGTGAGAATTTTTATGTAACCCACGAGCACTTTTTAAAAAAATTAGCATTATTTTCGTACTTTTTTGGCAAAAAACAAGCACTGCTTTAAACATTTAATGCTTTTTTTTACGAGCACTATCGATAAAAGCCTGTTTGGTTGCCCGGGGAATTTTTTTACCGTAACTAACCTAATAAGCATGAGGCATGTGTAACTTCTTGGGCTCACAGATAAACTTTCTGAGGCCAAAATGCAGATCAAATTTTCTTCCGCTTTATTACCCAAATTGATGCACACATTGCTGAATTTAAAGGCTTACGTTACTGAATATGGGAGCTAAGACAGGCTTTCTATATATATATTTTTTATAGCAACACTATCTGACCTGCCTATCCCAAAAACATTTTTTTAATGGGAAGGAGGAGGACTTCGATTCGGCTGAAAAACTGACTTGAAACATAATAATCTAACGCTTTTAAATCAATCTATTGAATTAATGTCAATCACGATTCTTGTGCTCGAATAAATCTGTCAACAAGAGGCAACGCCTATTTATTAAACGAAACACCCACTGCTACACTTTCTTGACATTTAAAGCAAAGTACTCTTGATCTCTGAAGCGTTTCAAAGCCTGCGTGTCTCGTTTTCAGGAATATTAAAGTATTAAAAGTATTGATATTCAACCACTATGCAATTGTGTTCATCATGTTAATCGTTCCACATATTTTCAGTTTTATTTTTGAAAAAAAAAAAGAAACAAAACCAAAAATGAAATTACTGAGCCTCACCTCCCCCTCCTTCCCCTCCAAAAAAGTTTTTTTTGTCGACGCTATGACGAGTCGATGTTACAATATATAGAAACATATGAAGGAACTGGATCGAAACAAAATGTAAGGCCAAGAAGGTTCACCAATTTTGAAAAACCTCATTCTGCGTATTAAATTTAATAGAGAGATTCACAGTTTAAAATATGAATTGGTGAGTCCTTGGCATCATGTCATCTACTGGTTTCCGTAACCGCTATTTTTAGACAAACGGAACTTATTCACTACGTTGATAGAAAAAAAACTTACATACCATCACGTACGAGGAAATTACTAGGCTCTAACTACGTTAGAGTCAATTTCATTTGGGCCCATCTCCCAGCTTCAGTCTATGAGAGAGGTTTCTGTATGAATGTGAAAAAAAAAAAAGTTAGGAAATGAGGTCTAGGTCTGGAATAACTGACATTAAAGGTTGCTATTGGAAACAGTCCACATACCTTGCATTCCTTCTCTTTCTCCCTTGGAGGGCACGAATGTGAAGCTTTTTTTGGCGCTGACGCAATTCGTGGGCGCTTTAGATTTCGTGATGAAACGAGCATCACTTTTAGTGACGTGCTGAAAACTGATTGGTTCCTTACAGTTCCTTACGGGAAAAACTCAGACGATTTAACTAAGTAACATAATTATCGTCTTGTATGGCATTTCGATGCTTATATCAGTACGTTATAAGCTTTACTTAATAGCCATCTAATATTCAAGTGCTTGTATAGTGTTCCTAAATTGCTTCAGTGCCATTTACTCGGTAAAAATCGCTGGATGAAAGGGAACTCGACAGCATTCAAGTACTGTGCAGATAAACGAGTAATTTTACTGAAAGGTTCACTCTTGTGTTCACTCTTGAGGCTTTCCTCATAGCATATCAGCGATTTGGAAGGTTTGGTTCTGCTGAAGCCATTTGTCAAACGTATCCAGGACTTCCCAAGGGAAATCTTCTTCGATTCAGCATGGGACAAAAATCTTCTCGTCTGCTGGAACTAAGCTCAACGAAGTTTACTTCGACAGGATTGCACCACTTTGTCTGCACCATGACTAGAAAGGACATCGTTGCTGCACTGTGGTTCTTTATGCTGGTGAGTACATGGATCATAAGCTTTATTTTATAAGAAAATTAACTCACGGACCACTGTTCTGTGGAACGTTTCATAGTTTGCGCTTTTGAAGCGAATTTTCAAAATGTTATGAAGGGATGGGCGATATGTGCTTACTCATCACTTCATAGATCATGAGAAATAGTGCTTCGCCACAAAATTCCATTCCGGGCCGCTGGAACTGGTAAATTTTACTGTTTTCGTTAGACTGTGGTTTTATTTCGAATTTGTTTGATTAAATGTCGATGCTTGTCCATCTATATGTTTTCATAAGAGGTAATTTTCGTTGATAATCATCTACTTGAGAGCCACGTTGTATGGCAAAAGCGATTAATCTTGGGACACTTACTCCGGTTGGATTTATTCCAGTTTAATATCTACTTGCTGTAGTTTGTCTTTAATGTATATCATTTTAATGCAAATTAGCTGGCCGAGTTCCTTCTTAGTCGTCGCTCTAGTTTTCATTACGGTTTGCTCGGCAATTTTGAATTCTGTAAACAAAAGCTGCTCGCGTTCTGCCTTTCGACTTTACGAACTCTAGGGAAAATGGCCGTCTGCGTCGTAACTGGCTGTTATAAGTAACGACCAGTTGTACGCTGAATAGCCTGAATCGGATGGCTTACGACTGAAATGGCGACAAAGGTAGAATATTTTTATACTTTGATAGGGTATTTTGACTCATGTTTGACCCTTGTCATGAACTCTTCAAACGGGCTTAACGACTCAGTTTACCATCGTTCATTTTAGCTTGTTCGGCAAGTTTAACCAAATCTAACAAAACTTTAAATGCAGTCTACCTCTCGAATTTGGTCGTCGACTTAAAGAGTGAGTAGAAATAAAGAACGGAGATGTGCCTTCGGCGAAGATTTCTTTCTTTACGTTGTTTACTTTACTGACAAAAGCACGAAGCTTCGTGACAAAAATAGTGGTAAAATGTTAGATGTGAGCCGTTTTATACAAATACTTGCTATTTGGTGGTCACATCACGTTCACAACGGAACACCGGCAAATAATTCAATTAAAAAGATTCAAATAGCAAATTAATTTTTGATAGAGTTTCATCTTAACACACTAGAAGGCTGTTTTACGTTGATGTCAAAATCAACCACAACTAATGATGTAATTTGCAAACTAAGATATCCTCTGTCTGCAGTAAACGGATTTCCTGAAAACCCACCCTGATAAATGTCTGACGCCTAAAGCTTTCAGTTTTCAAAACTAAGTAATAAGTAATTCCTCATTTGAATGGTCTGTATGGAGCATTAACTATTGCATTGATATCATGTGAGGTTAAATAAAGTACACTGAAAGTTGTGTGTTTCTGGCGTTCTCAAAAAAATACCTAAAATTATTCACATAACCGAATGTGACAGCAGGTGTCAATTTGCCTACTCAAGTGATTTCATAACAAAAGGTCAAAGTACTTCAAGTTGTTTTTCATTTACCTCTCATCATGCAATTCATCATTGATGTGAAGGTGTCAACCGACCAATGTTCTTTCTATCACAAATAGTTTATGAAAATGTAAGGGATACGATACAAATTCAAACTTTATAGACCATATTATACAATTTGGCTAAGAGTTTGATAGAAAATTCCACGTGAACGTAGATTAGGCTGAGTTTGCTCCTCGTTCAAATAAATTAGAAGATCAAATCAATTCCTTTTCTTATGGAATGAAGTTTTTCATATCCATAATATCGAGGGAGACTCATACTTCGTAAAAAGAACACAACTGATGTACCAAATTTTACGTGATTCAAGCGTTCTTGAACATCATTGATGAAAAATGTAGACCTACCCATAAAAAAGGAAATGTGTCCAGGAAACATTTTAACTCAGGTAATTGGGCTGAGTAGAGTACAATTTGTATAGGTAATCACATGATTTCGAGTGCAATTTGCAATAAATAAGCACGAGTAAATTTTTTTAAAGACTGACAAATTTGTTATCTTTGAAAAATTAACAAGTGTTTGTTTGTTCCAAATTGCACAAGAAAAATCATGTGATTACGTGTTAATAATATACATGGAAAAAATACGATATGGCTCATCATAATTGAGCTTACGCAAAGCGCGCGCATCAAGTGCAAAAATAATTTATTCAAACAGTGCTTTCGGTCAAAACAACCGCGTACGATCAAAACAATAATACGCAATGATATCATCACATCTTTGAGGCGCAAAAAAGTTCGAAGTCCGGCTAAACAGTTCAAGGAATTGTTCAGTCTGTGTCCGAATAACTTTCGATGAAATGGAATCGTCTTTTCTGAGGTTTAATCATGTTTGTTTTTAATTTCGGCGTTGGATCGCTCGAGCAAAGTGTTAAGCTGGGTCGGTTCGTAATTTTCGATTTCCTTGGCAATTCCCTTCTCTAAACACCACTTTTTCCAAACCGACAACCAAAAAGCAGTGTTTATTGCAGTGTTTTCGTTGTTTGAGCTGTTTTTCAGCCGCGGTGGCGAAAGAAAACCTACCTAAAACGCCGGCCATTGTTTCGCTCGCAAATTTTCAAATTTTGTTCCGACATCCAAGGCTTGCATTTGATGTGCTGTCTGTGAGTTTCTTTGATTATTGACCGATCATAATGTCTGATTTGTTACTTTCTTTGCACTGAATCAACCCTCTTCTGCACTGAATTAACTCTTCTGCACTTAATTAACTCTTCTGCACTGAATTACCTGAAAACTGCATTTATCTTAACCAGTCAGAACTGAGTAATTTTTCCATGTATATTATTAGGTCTGGAATTATACGCGTGAAATTTTAATTCACAAGTACGATTTCAGATCAAATTGCTCGACACGTACCTTGATTATCACTTCATTACAATCATTTGGAAATTGCAAAATTCAATCGGCCAAATACAGGGTTTTTTGTTGTTTAGTTTTGAGGACAATATTTGCTAAAATTCGCCCCGCAATGGTATCTTTGTCTTTCATTTTCCTATAATTTGATTAGTTATTTTGTTTTAGCTGCTTTTTCATTTATTGGGAAAAAGATGCTATTTAGAGCAAAATATGGTGCGATTTGTGAACAAATTGTACCGCTCAAAGTCAGTCATGGCTCACCAGTGATTTCAAAATGGATGGAATAAATGTCTTAATTCGTCTTCAACTGCAACACTATTTATCAGCTCATTAAACTAAAACAAGCAGGAGGTTTTGGTAATCGAATGCAAAAACAAGCTTTTTTCACAATGTGTCATTCTTTCGTCAATAGGTTTGTCCCATTGGAGCAAATTTCTCGTGTAAATCGGAACAAATAATTTGGACCAACGCCGCTGGAAAGGCAGGATATCAATGCTTGGACTGCCCTTCCTGTCCGGCTGGATCAGAGCCTTCGGTACCATGTGGAACCAAAATTGAAAATTGGACCGATATTCACTGTGTTCCATGTCAACTTGGCAAAACATACTCTGACAAATACGACAAGGCTCATTGCAAGCCCTGCACGGTATGCTCGACAGGGAAAGCAATATTGAAGAACTGCACCCTTGAGTCAAACAGTAAGTGTAGCAGGTGCAAAGAAGGATATTACTATAAACCTTTGTCGTTTTCATGTGACCCTTGTTCAGAGTGTTGTGGAGATGAAAAAGACTTAGTTGCAAGCGAATGCAGTAGTCACAAACACAAGTGCAAAGTTCGGTCCACACCGTGCAACAAACAAATCAGGTCCACCAAATCAACGCTCAGACTGACAAAACCCACGCCTCCTCCAAGCATTGTGTCAACACATCAACCAACAAGTTCAATTGTCGTGAAAGAAACTAAGTCGTCAATAATGCCAACTCAGGTGGTTGATAAGGACGCGCCGACAGACATAGGAAAGATCGGAATAATTCTGCTTGCAGCAGTTGCAGTCGTAGTTTCTTTGGGAATTTTCGTCGCGATCGTTATTACGAAATGCGGCAGACCAAGAAATACACTGAAGCCTTCCGGGGAGCAGGAATCGACGAGTATTGAAAAAAGTTCTCCCAAAATCAAGGCAGCTTCACAATCCAATGAATCCATATCACCTTCTCTGCATCCCGTTTTTATTCAATCAAGTGGATCAATGACACTCCTTCACAACTGGTGTGAGTCGTCCGATGAAAGTGGGCTTCAAATACCACAATCTCAAGATTCAGCATCGTTACCGCCTTCACGGTCCAACGCGCCTGCACGTGTTGAATACGCAGTTAGCCCAGGTAAGTTCAGCGGTTGTAGTTGATTACTGAATTTCATTTTATGAAATATTTCAAAAACTCCTCGCACTCTCATTTGTAAATAGGAGCGTTTAGACGAGAGTATGTGAACAGGGTTATAGCAGTTTAGATTCGATTTTTTCGTTTTATGAAAACATAGCATAGATTCCTATTGCTCAAATGTCACTCTTATCACATTTGGTAGGGTATTTCGTTATGGGAACTGTAGCTATTGGAAAAAGGGTTGTTTCGGTTAAAGCAATATAAATAACCATCACTAAACTGGATTTCTTCCAGAAGATGTGACCCTCGAAAAGCTGGAAGAAAATCACCATGACGTGTTCGATTGGATGTGTGATAAGCTTGAAACCATGCAAAGAGGCCGATGGAACTTTGAAAGACTAGCTTTCCGGTACAACATTCCATCCACAATCGTGAGATCTTTGAAAAATGCGTTCCAACGTAACGGTAGTCCCTCTCATGAATTAATGGACCATTTGAAGGCGACACACCCCGATTTGCCACTTCATCATGTTATCGATAACCTGGAGAAGATTGGAAGGAATGATATCGCACAGGGATTGAGGCCGTACCTGAAGAAAAACGATGACATTTCATTAGCTTAAGGACTTTCGCAAAGATTGTTAACTCGCGCTCTGTGGATGTGAGTATATGCAAACATTTTTGGACAGGAATGATTTTTTGATGCAGCCCTTTTGATATGTAAATTGGCAAACCTAAACGCTGTAGGAAACCATAATAAATAACGTTCCAAAGCAGAAAAGCGTGACAGTTCACCCGTTCTGTGTATATTTTTTACTAAAATGTTATTTAGGTTGTTGTCGTTTTCGTTGTTGTTTTTATGTTTGTAGAACACGGCCCATGGTTTGAAATGTAGAACCAAGATGTAGACAGGTTTCCTAGAATTGTTCAGTGTCCAGGCATTGTCAACATATAGTAAGGAATTGATAGAAGCTGTTTTCTTTCAGTGAGTTTTGGGGAAAGAATTTAAAGAAGCATTTGTCAATACGTATTTACCATAGTTTTCCATCATTTAATGTAGTTAAATGCTTAGGATTCTGCAATCAGCCCCTTCAGATTACGGGTTTTTTTAATAGTTTACGAGAGTAGCGTTGTAACGCTAGAAGCCTTATCAGTATACACTGGTATATGTATTGTGAGAAACAAACAAGCATATAAACAAACAAAACTAAACACTGTAGGACACCATGAGAAATGACGTTCCATAGCAGAAACGTGTGACAGTTCATCCGTTCTGTATAAATTCTTTACTCAACTGTTATTTAGGCTGTTGTTGTTGTTGTTTTAATGTTTGTAGAACACGGCCTATGGTTTGAAATGTAGAGCCAAGATGTAGAGAGGTTTCCTAGAATAGTTCAGTGTCCAGGCATTGTCAACATATAGTAAGAAATTGATAGAAGCTATTTTCTTTTGGTGTTTTAGGGAAAGAATTTAAATACACGTTCGTCAATAAGTATTTCTAATAGTTTTCTATCATTAAATGTAGTTCAATGCTTAGGATTCTGCAATCACCCCTCGGATTAGGGTTTTTTTTATACTTTACGAGGGTAGTGTTGTAACGCTGGAAGCTTTATCAGTTGACTTTGGTACATATATTGTGAGAAACAAACACGTAAACAAACAAACAACAACACAGCAAAAAGGATTACAGGGGATATTTATCACCGATATAATTTAAACAGTGAAAGATCAAGGTTCATTAATTATTTTCTTCGCAAAAAGAACGCATTACGGTATTGTGAGGAATCTGTAAAAACTATTTAACTGATAAATGTAAACATTAATTTTTGGTATTGGCTTGATAGCGCCGTATCTATTTGTTGTATTTTAACTATTGCTAACTCCTTAGTGGAAGCATGAAGTCGAGTGCTATTTAATATAAGGTCTTTGAATAATAATAATAATAAAAAAATAATGAGAAAAAATTAACTTTTGTGGACGAAATTTTGAATGCTCGTCATTTGCTGTAAGCCAATTCTCAGAAGCCGCAAGCCTCTGTCTCCGAAAAAGGCTGTAGGGGTGTGTGTTACAGTTAAAAATGAATTTGCATTCACACGCAAATAAACATCATTTCCAAGTCTACTAACTGACCCCCCCCCCACCATTTCATATCTTGGTACTTTTCGCTGAATGTCCTTCCTTTTGGTATTTTTCATTTCGACAGAAAACAAAAAACAATAACAAAAACACGAATTCCACGACATTGCTGTTTTTAGCCTAGTCTTACACATTACAATTCATAGAGACACCTAACCTGAGTTTTTGAGCGAAAAAAGTCTCTAGATAAAATAAATATAATTATGTACTCACATTTCTTGTCTCATTCTAACACAAGCCCTTTAACTCAAGATTGAATGAAAAAAAACTCATCTTTAAAGATTTATGCCAATAATTTTTGTCCTCAGGAACAACCGAAAATGAAAAATCAAAGCTGGAGTAGTGAAATATCCTTTTCTTTTACGAGTACCGCCAGAAAGTTGATAAATAATCAGGTGATCAAATACAATTTCTTAAGATTGAATTGCTTGACTGGGAACTGTTCGTAACTAATCGACTGAGAAATTTTACTTTTTTAACTTTCTAGCTCGGATTTAAAAATGGAATACCGAATCGTTTGCTTGGTATAAGCGGACATTGTTTAGTGTTCTTTAAATCATAATCGTTTTTCACTTCATCTGAGGAATTCGCTTTCAGTCTACAGATGGTTACTCTGTCGTTGGTGACAGGCAAGCAGGCGAAGTTTATGCATTCCTACTTGAATACTACATCTTAATCATTTGAGTGATTCTAGTCTTGACGCTCTTTTTTTCAGACTCTTAAGCTCATCTCTTTCATACAATATATCGTTATACAAACAGTTATTATGCGTTTTGAGTCTGCGCAATGTGTCCATAATATTACTTGGATCCATTTCGACCTTAATCTCATCATCGTATTCGTCCAGCTCGTAAAACTGAGCATTCACTGCTCTCCAACTTCCCGTCAGACGTGTTCTTCTCATTTGCTCAGACTGGGTACGAAGCTTATCAACGCCAGGTGAGCTGCTACGGGAAGCGGTCTCCGCAATTCCGGTTGGCGCTTGGATAGGTCTTTCCATGGAACTAGTTTCATAGTTCATCTTTCGTACTTCTGAAAAATCGTCGACATTTTCACTTTGCTCGAAATGTAGCTCTCCTTCATAGCAATCGTCATCAGCGCAGAACAGATTCAGTTGGCTGAGTCTTACATGTAGCTGGTCTCGAGTATCTTCAAGTTCCTCGAACAGATTCTCCTTCTCTACTTGCAACTTGGCAACTTCATTTTCGGAAATCTGACGCTTCCGCTGCTCATCTCGAAGCCTTTTTTCCAGAAGAGCCACTTTGCTCTCAAGGAGGTCCATTTTTCCATCGTCTCTTGGTCGTCTGTGTAGCGAATTTGACAATTTTCTGCTGCCCTCAAGGCTCTCGTCGCTGCACCACCTAGCATTTCCAGAGCGTCTACGTTCGTCCACGTACCTCCCTCGACCATCACTGTTCAATTTTCCCATGGAGGAGCTTTTCCGCAGCTTAATAGTCGAACCTCCTTCAGATTTTTGTCTAGTCAGAGAGTTTAGGTTATCAAGGCTCCCAAACTTTCGCCAGCCATCTTCATGCTCCCATTCTAAATCGTCATTTATCGCCGCTGATTTAGGTTCCGTGTCTTGGAACTTAGTCTGATCTTGATCAAAAATTGATGCGGAATGGTCTTCGTTCAGACTTAGCGTGTTTTCAATCTCCTCTCTGGGTGAGTAGTCACAAAATTCCTCGCCGTCGCTCGGAGCAGAATCATAATCAGCGAATAGACCCGAGCTGCTAGAGTCACTGAACACGATGGAGCTTCTCCTGATGTCCTCCAACTCCCTCTTAGTGTTTTTGTGCCGTTTTTGCTCTTCAATAAGGCTCAATTTCAAGGATTGAGTCTCATCCAAGTCGTTTTCCAGTTCCATCAATATACTGCTGATTTCTGAAAAATTAAATCAATTGGATGTGTATCAAGTATACATGTTAGAAACTGACATCACTGCCGTGGGTAACCTAAATAATTCTCCTTCCAATCACCTCATTCATACATTTATGTCAACTCACACTTTATACCCTCTTAAGCATCCGCCTCTTTTCCCTGCCCCCACCCGACTGAAAGGTCAGAGAATGACGACGGTGAAATTCATAACTTGTAAGCGGAGGGCTTGATTGATTATGTTATTTGTTTTACTACGTCGCGTGTTTCTCCCTACACTTCTTAAGTGCTGAGGCCGCTTTCTCGGTTCTTTACAACAGAAAAGAGCACATTCAAGGCTTCTCTATTTGTTAATTAAGCCACCATAGTCTAAATCTCTCATATCGTACGTAAGGCATTGCGCTCTTAACGTGGCATATGCAGTTGTACTTTGCTGCAAATTACCCGTCTATTTGAGTTGCGTGTTTTAAAATTTTCTTCACGCTTTTCTCATTCCTTCCAAGTCGAAATTGACCTTTTGGAGCTCTAAAGAAACGTGAAAATGCTAAATGATACTCGAGCTAGAAAATAATGTTCATCTAAGCCCCAATATCGACAAAAGTGGCCGTTTCGAGTTAAAAAGCCTAAATTTTAGCCATAACCCTGAGAGAAATCAGGGTTATGGCTAAAATGAAAACTGACCTTGCTGCCTTCGATCAGGTGAGGCTTGTGCGACATTTGGAAAATTATTTGACCTGTTGAATAATTGTTTATATTTCCGTAAAGGATTTTGTGTAAAATTTAATACCTTTCAGAAATTTTAACACAGCGTTACGCAATTTTCTGACCATAAAGTCAAACAACGATTTCGGCATGGTGAATATAATGCGTGGGCTCCATAAACCTGAGAAACTCGTGCGTTTTTCGCATCTGACGGGACTTCTAGGACCTCCTAGAATAAATCTTTTGAGTGAAAGAGATTTCTTGGTCATTCCTTTACAGCCTTTTATCCACAGTTTTCGGGTAGAACGCTATAATCTAGCGATCCGGCAAAATTTGCACATGTTTTTACTTAAAATCCGGTCTTCAAGTAATGTTATACACGAGTGAAAAATTAAATGAAATCTTAGTTTATGAGGAAAACCAAAAGAGCATCTACTTTTTTCTTTCCCAGGTTAGTAATGGGTTGTCAACAAATGTTTTCTTCATTAGAGCTTCTTTTTAAAAAACAGACGATTGATAAAGATTTACCAAAGATTGTGACAATAAATATTAATATATGAAAAAAAAATTCAAAAATTTTTAAACAATTAGTTCATACGTGAGCTGTGTATTCATCGAAATATGTAGCACTTGAGAAGAGTGAAGAGCACTCAAGAAACTAGGATTGCTCTTGGCTACGCCTCCAGCAACTCTTACGCATCTTTCGTGGTCTCCAAACTTTCCGCGTTCTTCAGATCTCGACGAACAAACGCTGACAAGCGAACTCATTATTGACAGGCCGCTTTAGGCTACTATGACCTTAACACGACTAGGCTGGCTTATAACATGGTTTTATCAACTGTGTTGATAATTTGAATTGGCCACAGAAGTTTTTTTGAAGGTTGAAGTTTCGACCCCTTCCCGTGTTCTTTTGCACTGACGAATAGCGAACGTTGGAAACGTTGGTTTTTAATTAGAAACTCTTTTGTTAGAAAAAAAATTTGGCCAACTCGCCTTGCATTATCGACTCAGTTGACAATAACAAGTTATCATGTAATAACCCCCCACAGACACATCGTTAACTTTACATTGCGGTTTCATCAGAAACTCACCCCGCATCAAAGCTGGCTTATGCTTGGTTACTGACGAGTGTTAACGTGAACTCTTTCTTTATATATCGGTCTCATAGTCATGCGTATATACAAATTTTTTAAAAATTATTCATAGGTTAAAATTGAGGGATCTAAGCAAAGATGACATGTTGTTATGTGCAATGTCGTTCCCGCTAATGGAGGTGTGTTATCAATGGAATACGAATTAACCAGCTTTATATTATCGCAAACTTAAATGTGGATTTTTAAAAATAAGTACTAAGCTCTGATTGTTGTTGAGGGGTTAAGGAAGTAGTCCACAGCATCAAGCGGGTAATAGAAAGATCGACGAAATATCTGCTCCGATTCTCGTCTGATAGTCATAACATGAACCCAGAACGCGCAACTTACACGATATCGTCGGATAGAGTTAATTTATGCCGATTTTGCAGTGGAATATACACAGTCATTGAAAGGACTTGGAATACGAGTGCTAATAATTGCCGACGATGAAGTGATTCAAGTTGGGCTTCACCACAAGTTTCAACACGCAGCTTACAAGACGAATCTATTTAAATTCTCGTACAAAGCCAATATTGATAAGAGCAAGTAAACAGGAGAGAAATATAAAGATGAAACAGCTGCTTTTGTAGTTCATAATGTACTAGCATTCAATTTTCACATGAAGTCCGAGTCACGTTTTAGAAATAAAGTAGGATAATTTAGATTAGATTTAGAAACAAAAAGGCAATTAGAAAAAAGTAACGCAACGCAGCTGTGAAAAAGCAGACAGAAATACTGTCAATAAATGTAAGTTTAACAGAACAACGTATTTACCTTCTTCATCATAGACATCATCTTCAAGAAGCTCTCTCGCCAAGAAATCTTGCACTTTAGATTTCAACAAAGCCTGAAGTAAATGTCTGAGGCCGTTCTCTCGTCTTTTAATAATGTCAACAAACACTGTCACTTGGTTTTCCCTCGACGTTTTCTTTTTCTCTTCGCGAATGGTCTCCACGTCGTCTTCATCGATAACACCGACTGTTTCAAGATGACGCAAAAGTTTTGAAGGTTCGAGACATTGTTGAAGTCTCGAGAAATGTCGCTCTAACACAGTGCAGTCCCTAGCATCCATTTCGCTGGGAAGGGAAAGGCCAAACAACCGATATAAGTCAGAAGGATAAATATTTGACCCTCAGTAGCGCAGGACGTAATATTACACCGCGGTTTCGTAAACTCACGAGTCTTTGATGTGACCAAGAAACACGTGATTCTCTTGCAATCTCTGTTTTGGCAAACGATATCTGGAAAGACCGGAATGTTGTGAGGTTTTTAGTTAAAAAGAGAAGTTTCTCAGGCAATTTCAGGAACTGAGCCTTGTAAAAAAAAAAAAAAAAAATGCTGTGAAGTGAAATCGATGTTACAAAAAGGGAAACATTGCCTACTTCTGAGGCTAAAGTCGGACAAAATATACCCTGTCCCCGTATGGTCAATATATAAGAATGCCTATTCCACCGAGATGTAAGTTCGCTTTGAAATAACTAAATTAACTTGAGGTTTACTATGGAGTTCAGATACAGCACAAAAACCGTCAAGATGACCCTCTGCTAAAACAGAACGAGCTGTCATTTTTTCAAGCCCCTTACTAAGATAAAATTCGAAGGACCATACCTCGTCATACGCTTTGCTGCCGACAATTTTAAGTCTGGACTAAAAGCTAAATGTAAGCGAACAAGTCTCAAGTCTGGGGAATTTATCCGGTGAATACAGAAATGATAACTGCACTCACCTAACTAAGAATGTTGAAACTCAAATGGCTCAACAGAGAAACAATAAGTTAAATTTTCCTCCACTTCCTTGGATAGATGGCAAAATGCCCAAATGAATAAGACATCCTTCTCTGTGTTTACGTCTGCAAGTAAAAATGTTAGTCGTTCCCGCAGTCACTTAGCATTTTAAATTGTGTTTATTTGTTAACGATTAACGTGATAATAGAGCAGTCGTCCAACGGAGCCGCCAAATTGGTAGGTCAACCGCGCTGCCAGAGGCACAGTAATTAGGAAGGCGATAATTAATTTGAATGCCCAAACTTATCTAGAAAAGCTTTTGAATTGGATAAAAAAAATGATACATTCTCACTTTCTTTCAAAGGAATGTCACTTTGAAAACGCTGAGAGATTAAAAATATTGAGTTACGGTGACTCTGAATCGTTTAAAAGGAGCGAAGTCACGCTTTTAGTAGGAGTCGTTGCAGAATTCTGAATACCGCAAGACCGCAAAAATTATCTGAAAAAAACCGCCCGGCTTTACCGCACGAAAAGTTTAGGAAACTCCGAATCCACCGAATACCCAGTCACACGATTGACAAACACAACCGAAAAGGTAACAAAGCTTTACAACATACTTTCAAGTATTGTGAATTAATTAGGTCGAAAATTTTGCTGATCGCCTTGGTTGTGCGCAAACCTTGTTTCAAATTCTCCTTGGCATAGTAACACTCGTTTTGCGGAAATTTTGCCAATAGGATGAGCTAAGTTCGGTTCAGATTTGGTCGGCAAGGGTCATGGATTATTGCGCAAAGGTCCACTTGACACCGAAACCGCATTAACGCAAATAGTTTTGTTTCACCGCCACCGGAGCTTTAACCACAAAAACAACGTACAAATTAGGATTTCAGGATACCGCTATACAGCATTGTCGGAATTTTTCCTTGCAATACCAAATTATAAACTGCGCAACACCTCAACACCGTAAACCTCACTGTCCTTCTCAATAAGCTGTCGAATAGAAGTAGTTTGGTTAACTGCTCGGTATTTGGTTTCTTTACATTGCCAGAAGAACTCTTACAATTCTTTCGTGCTTGTCTCGCCAGTCTAAGTTTGAAAGGAACACTAAGATCTGACTTTTAATTCTCATTGTTGAGTCTTACACTTGGTTGTTCCAAGGATCCGGTTTAACATCGAGCAGTTATCTATTTTCCGCAAAGTTATCTCATCTCCCTCGAACAATCGGTCTTGATTCTAGCAAGAAATGAGATGGCAATTGCGTCATGGAGTCAATCGGCCAGGTGTCTTTCACCAGTGTCTTTTGAGAAGATTCAATCAAATTCCAATTTAAAAGTTCAATTTGTATTTTGCAGAGTAGGTTCAATAAAATTTTTTTAAGGTAACATCAAAGCAGTCTTAAATATACCGCGCGGCCTACCAACTATAATTGATAACAAGTTACTCCTATTAGCAATGAGTTTCGCCACAGACCAAATGCAGGTTATGGTCCTGAAGTCGATTAACGATCTTACATTTCTTCATAAATTTACTCTCTAATATTCTGATTTGATTTCAAAAGAAATGAATCAATGATTGTTCACGAATTTGGATTAATGGAACCAGGAATCCACATGAGGCATGACGAAGGTAAGAGAAGATGATTAAAAGAGATACAACGGCTGGACTACAATAAAACAATAAAGTGCAGGAACTGCTTTTTATTGACCAGCCTGACCAGGGTAGTTTTCCGATCCAGCGTTACACAGACTAACAGCTAAACAATGAATTTCCGCCAAGAATATTCTGATTACTAAGAATATGGAATTTTACAAAAGGCTGTTGCTTGCTTGAGACTATCTTTTTGTTCCAAAAATGAAAACAGGTAGAATAAGCAAGAAGACTCTAAAAAAAACCTTGCAAGCCAGTTTGGGAAAATTGTTCCAAAGCTAAAAGAAAAGAACCTAAAGGCAATGAACAAAGCAAACCTTTCTCCCGCGTTACACAACATTAAACTTCAAAAAAAAAATACATCCTACATTTATCAGGAGTCGCATCAGTTAGAGAGTTTCTGTAGTTATGCCAATTTACCGTTTGATTTCCGAAACTCAAGCAGTTCTTCTTGCAACATGCGAAGTTTCTTGTTAACTTCTATCAACTGGGCCAGGAGTACTTCTGTAGAGGACTTTGCATCTCTGATGTCATTTCCGATTTGAGCTTCAAAGTGAAACTCCACTACGGATGTTTGTTTGTCTCCTTTTACTGCACGATTAGTCGACTGGACTTGAATTTCAGGGCTACCGCTTTTTTCAACCTGCGTTCTTTTGGTTGATTCACGCTTGGGGGTGCTTGTGGTAAAGGTGCCTTCCCCCTTAAATGGAGGCGTTTTATGGATCACGTTAAACCTTCGCTCTGAATCTTCAACAGATTTCCTTTCTCCCTTTTCCTCTTGCTCCTCATTTTCAGCTTTTGGCGTCGATATTTCTCCGACTTTAGCATCGAGTTTAAGAAATTCTTTGACTTGCAGCTGGATTTGATTTTCTCTCTGCCGCCCTTTTTCCAAAGAATGGACTTCTTCTTTTTCTACTGCAGGACCATTTCCAATCTCCTCATTTTGCTCCTTACTTTTAGCTTTTGGCGTCGATACTTCTCCGACTTTGGCATTAAGTGTAAGAAATTCTTCGACTTGCATTTGGAATTGATTTTCTTTCTGCTGCCCCTTTTTTAAAGAATGGACTTCTTCTTTTTCTACTGCAGGACCATTTCCAATCTTCAGGAGTACTTCCTGATCAGGATTATCGGGTTTTAACACCTGTTCATTCACTGATTCTTCTTGCTTATATTCTTTAGTGTTAGCCTCTTGCAACTGACTCTCCATCTCAACTGCAGGTTCTGGTTTTTTTTCAGCAATTTGTTCTTCTTGCTTTAGGCTTCCCTTATCATTATCTGGCGTCATAACTGATTCTTCCTCGTCCTTTTTGGTTTGAACCTCCTCCTCCCCATTATTCGCCATCATAGTATCTACGGTTTTGAGAATCTCTGCTGCTAGGGGTACATCAGGTCTCTTAGAATCTTTTTTTTCCACCGGAGCTGGATGAGCTGCACTGACAATTTCCAATTCAGAAGGCTGGTCCCTCTGTGTCTGTGGCTTCTCATTTTCCTTAACAACTTCAGTGCTAGGTGTTGAAACTTTGGCACTCGCTGACTCATTGATCGAAACACCACTAGAGCGCCTGTCGCCAAATTCAGTTGAATCAACACTTAGTCTCTTCAAGCTGTCCGAGGAGCCGTGTTTTGAACTTCTTTTATCTTTCCGTCCACTTCGTCTGAACATTCCAAACACAGATTTTGAGTTTGATGAGGATCCATCTTTTTCTTCGTTTTCCACGGTGAAGTCATTTGAGGACGCTTCTAAATCCTTCGAGTCTCTCTTCTTTTTTTTCTCTTTTCTCTCTTTCTTCTCCTTCTTACTTTCTGAAAACAATGCAGGCAAAAAGGGAATAAACAATTAGCTACAGGAGGGAAAACAATTCAACCAACATTTTTACATGTTTCTGAGATGGGTGCATTTTCCGCTGCATTCAATCCTCGTCCTTGTAAGAACCTCTGAATTCAAGGACAACATATCCTTATCCTTTTAATAAGGCTTTTACATGAGATTGTTCAAATATTCCTTTCCAAAATAAACATAAAAACGTCATTTTGCTACATGTATTTAAATATTATACCCAAATGTGGTTGTGATAACTGTAGTGATCAGTTCATATATATAGTAAACACTTACAGTACCTCTTACTATACTTTTGGCTTGAACTTAAAGGGCTGTAAGGTCCCTTTTTTGCCATTGTACCAGTAACCTAATCCGTTATTTCAATGCGCAGAATTACAAGCTGTTTGCAGACAACACATCACCAGAGTCAACGACAAAGTGGTGGAAACGTAACTTGCTTGTTATATTTCAAAACTCCCCAAATCACGTGCCCAGCGCTTCGCAGCCCGTGATATTTTGATGAATTTTGAAATATCACTCGCGGTGAATATCCCAAATACTCTGAAAATGCTATGCTATTTCCAATACTAACTAATCAATACTTGATTATCTAGACACAATAACTTCACGTTTGATGTGCTAAAATCCAGAGAGATATTGCATGAGAAGTAATACCACCTGTAATTTTTTGACAGGAGAGGTCAAACAAGAAATATCTACTACTCTGCAGTCATCTACTGGACTTAACCAGCTTGCCTATAAGAAGGGATATAATACCACAATGGCCCTTCTTAAATGTCAACATTATTAGTTAAACTGGTTGGATAAAGACGCAGACATTGTTAAGGTGTATTCTTTCGACTTTAGTAAAGCTTTCGATTTTGTTTCCCATCAGATTTTACGTAATAAGCTCAAGTTATATAATATCAACCCTTATGTTATTAACAGGATGATGAATTTTTTTGAGTAACCGTAAACTGAGAGTTGTGGTCGACGGTGTCACAACAAAGCTCGTTGAAATCGACAGGGGTGTTCGACAGAGGACCGTCTTAGACCCAGTGTTATTTTCCATCATGGTTAATGACATTAATGTTGTGAACCCGGAAACAAACCTGCTTATTAAGTTTGCAGACGATATAACCTAGAGTATTCCAGTTGGGCCAAATTTGCCTGATGACTCATCGGTCAGTGAAATTCAGAACGTTAAGCTTTGTCCAAATATGAATCGTTTGAAATTAAACCTAACTGAGACGTGGGAAGTAGTAATGAAAGGAAAGACCCCCAAAAATCCTCCTGGGACTGTGCCCATTATTGACAGAAAGAGCGAACTTAAATTATTGGGAGTAACTTTTCATGAAAATCCATGCAACTGAGACGCTCATTTTCATAATATGATGGATAACTCTAATTCAAGACTCTATATCCTCAGAATTTGTAAGTACTATGGGTACACTTTAGAAGAGCTTACGATCTTATTCCATAGCTTAATTATGTCCGTATTTACATACGCAATTGAAGTATGGGCATGTGCTTATGGTGGTAAATACGTCTCTAAGATCGATAAATTCTGCAAGCGAGCATGGAAATATGGCTACGCTAAGGAGCTTATATTCATCAGTGATGTAATTCAAATTAGCGATAAACAACTATGGAAAAAAATCACAGCTACAGATACACATTGTTCAACAGGTCTTCTACCGAACAAACGTACACATCAATCTTTACGTCAACGTGGCCATAACTATATGCTACCACGTATTCGCACAGAGCGCTTTAAGCGCTGCTTTGTAAATATCTCTTTTTAACTTTATCCAGTTTAATATTTGTAAAGAAAGTTATACTTTTTAGATAACTCCTCATCTATTGTATTGTAAACTTGCACGTATTTCTGCAGTGTTTGGTTTAATTAATTAATCAATAAAGGTAATTATGGCTTATCCATCTTCAGTAGAATTACCGAGGTATTTTGACCAGTTTCGCTTTTAACACTACACGTTTTTAATATTCTTTACGCATCTTTACTTACTGTTCTTTACGAAACTTTAACATTTTTACGCACAATTAATCTTTACGTGCCGTTAATTCTCTTTGCGAATAGTGTATCTCGACGACCCTTAACTTTCTTTACGCACAATCAGTCTTAACGTGCTTTTAATCCTCTTTCCGCCTCTGTATTCTGTCTTTTACACCGTTTCTAAACTTTGTGTTCGCATGAATATATTAAAACTACATTTTTTTTAACGCGCCTTGAAACTCATGATCAGGGAGTTGTCGTGACGAGAGAAAATCGTTGTTTTTTTTCCATAAAATGGACCCGGCAATGACGTGTGAAAGCGTGATGCTGTATTGTTTGTAATAGCAAGCTCGTCGAACTTTAAGATCCGACTATCAATGGTTCTAGTATTCGTCTGTATTTTTCCGGAGATGAAACTTTACTCAGCAGTCTCTGCTGACCCACTCCTAGTTACACATATCAGTACTGTTGAAGTTCTACTGAATTAAAAAATCTCATCCTCTGTCAAGAGCAATGCTTCATCTGCAAGTGAAATAGCTGCCACAAGTTTGCTATAGAAAGGCTTTTTATCTTTAGCAAGTGTAATTACATTTTAAACACACCTCACATCATCTTAGGAGCAGACGTTATGACCAATAACGAATGAAATCCACGTTGTTTAAGTACACATTTTATTGCTATAAAGAAGATGTAAACTAACTCTGTAAATGTAACAAATTTATCTGAATTGAAATGGACATTTTTACATGCCTATGAAAAGGCAAAAATACTCTAGAATGAGGTATTAGCGTTTCCTCAGGTTATGAAGTTGGCTATCGTGCAATATGCGCGTATTAAGGTTTTAAAACAATCAATAAAAAAAAAATAACATTCAACTGAAACCATTGCTGTTTACGATTGTGAAGTGATGGGTGCCTCAGGGCGCCTCGGGGGTTGCCCCCCACCAACCCCATCTCTTCCACGCAATATCAATGGTAGTCCTAGTTGTTAAATCCAATAGGAGAATGGGGAGGGCTACATATAAACGTGACAGAGGTTTTTGTCGGGGTACTAGCTGGAAAGCAATTGATGATATAAACTAGTTTCGTTTCGAAATCAATGACTAATTGATAAAATTTAAATTAAAAAAAAAAAACATGAAATAGGCCACAATAGTTTTACTATGGATCAGTCACTGATCACTTATTGATATTACAGGATATGGATAAGTGAACAAAATCACGAATGAAGGCAAAGATTTTTTGTAGAACATAAAATTGGTTGTGGTAGTCACTTTAACATGAACAAGGAGTCACACTGATTATTTTAAAGTGAATGGATCAAGTGATGGTATGAAGGATAAGAGTGCTTGGTGAAAACTTCCTCTATTTACATAATGCATTACACGTAGATAAAAATCTATATTATGTTATGCATGTACATGTAAAATTCTAAGTTTATTGATACCTGTCAATAATCAAACATCAAAGGGATTGATAAATAGAAAAAGCTCTAAGAAAAGGTGCGATTTTTGAAATGAAATGCAAAAAGCCCTGTTGTTATTGTTTCTAAGTATAAGTATAAATTCAAACTCATTAACAATCAATGATGAGATGCTAACTAGCCAGCTATGCCACATGTAGAATCGACAAGTAAATGTTAAAGGATTTAATTCAATACCAGTTTTTTCACCTGAAGATGATTTTCTTATAGCATAAAATATGTGTTCTCTTTTTAATCTCTTCTACATAATTTACATTCTCTTGCTGTTTTTTTACTCATTATCATTATTTGAAAACTAACGATAGGACACATAAAAAGGTAATTGTAGCTGTATGAAACCAATGAGGCATTTTGTATATCTATGTAAAAATATTTACATTTATGATATTTGTATTTTTCAGTTCTTATCCCGTGTACATAAACCATTCGTCGTTTGAACCTCTAGCAACGTTACTGTGAAAATTAAATAATCAAGTTAAAGAGTTATGACAGTGAAACGAATTGCGATGCATTAAAACACGTGTTGTTATGGTCACTCCTTGAAAGGGAATGTGCGGCATTGTTTGAAGGAAGCGTTAAATACATATTACAAATGTTCTCGATACAACTTTGGTTGATACGCGCATTACGTTGACGTTGTCATGAACTAACATTTTTTACAGTCTGATTAACAAAAAGGGAATGTTGCCAAAAAATTCAGACAACTGCAAAATGACAAATGGTCATGTAAATACTTTCCATTCACGATAGTGTAATAACGCGTAAAGATCGCCTTTCTGATCGCTTTACAATCGCCGTATAATATCGTAAACATTCTCTACACGACTTTTTACAGGGCACGTAAAAATAGCCTTTATAGTCTCTCTCCGTGATCTTTACGCACTATAGTTTTCAATGCGTAAAGACATTCTTTACGAAAGTGTAAAGAAGTTCGTAAAGACGCGTAAAGAGGATCTCAATGCTTACTTACGGCATTTTTTATGGATTCTTAAATTTATAATTTTATGCTGTGATCGGCACTAGCTGACAAGATTTAGAAGCTCGCCCCATAAATAATTAACTAACTTGATCCGCGACGTTTTCAGCCTTCCCTCTATCTCGAAACAAAAGCGATAGCTGCAAGATAATTTATTTCTGATTTGTTCAAAGTATTAATTCGTACTGTACATCCTGTTGACATCAGTGAGTGGCGTATTGTAATCCCAGATGTTGTAATAAAACTTCTAGACAAAACCTTGCGTTTGCCTTTGCTTCAAAAAAAATATTTTTCCCAGTTTGAAGCATTGTAGTAAACTGAGCCTGTTGCACTATATTCTAACTTTTGAAGACATCGATCGGGAATCAGTGTTAAAATATATAGCTAAAAGCCGTGCTGATTCAAAAAGTTATAGTCATGTGTGACTCAACAAGGTAAAGAAAAGAAAATGAAACGTTTTGTTGAGGAGACTCATGCAGCACGGCACCTTTGTACCTGGTCAAACTCCACCTACAATTTTGTGAACGAAATGTCCAGCCGACTACTAATATTTTTTAGTAATTGTCCTCAAAACTCTGAAGAGAGCAAATGGCCAGGCTTTGAAAGTTTCTCCTGTTTAACTCACACGATCTTAGTAAGTAGTGATTCTCTAATTATACATAACTGTCTACCTTACATATCTTACAATACCAATTGTGTGAGTTTGGCGTTGATATTTTTCTTTTAATCTCATCATCAGTCTGCTAAATAATGATGATGGATAATGTAGTGAGAAAATACTTCTTGGTCACCCTGTTTCCAGAGGTGTCCAAGAGCCAAGATTCTTTCATGCTTTTGCGTGTTTCGCTCGATTCGAAATTCTCGTAGAAAGTTTGTACGCATCACCATTATACCAACAAAGCTCGATCAACTGTCATCTTAAGTAAACTTACATCATTAATTAACCCTTGAACTCCCAGAAGTGATCAACCTGTAATTTCTTCCTATATTATCCATACGTTATCCAGTAAATGGGTGATAAGAATACCCAAACTTATCGGAGAGAAGTTGTTATCTTGGTCTGACGCCAAATCCTCCTAACTAATTTACAAGGAAATGTGTAGCAGCCAGAGAAGAGAATAAACAATCGGCTCACCTTTCTGAGTCTTGTCCTTCTTTTCTTTCGAGCTCATCTTCTCGTGAACTTGAATAAAAAGGTCTGTAAGCTATACGATAGCAGTCTGCCGTTTGGTTACTCGAGCGTAACGGAAGAATTTAACCCACGCACTTGATCTGAAAAATGAAACAAAATTAAACACTGGGTGGAAAGAGGAGACAATTTATCAAAACTACCCAGCTATTTCAGAGGTGTACTGTGGCCGATTTACGATGGATTCAGGTTTCTGTTGAAATCAAATTAATGGGAAAGAAGGCTCGGAATGCTCAAGGGACGATAAACAGATGAACTATTCTGGAATGCCGATGCATCTGTTAATTTTATATTTCCACTTAGAGACGGTTTGCAATATTCACAGAACCCCAAGTACACTGTTAATTGAAAATGAACGTTAAAATTGCATAACAAAGACTCAAAGCACCCTCTCGATCGACGAGTATCGTACAAAGACTGCTGTGAAGCGCGCGTTTAACGTCGATTTGTCAGGCTCACTACTCGCTTGCATGATTTCCGCTTGAAGATCTGTTGGTTGATTGTTTACACAGTAGGAACTAATGTGACCAATTTCTATGCTAAGGAATGATTCCTCGCGTCATTAATTGACAATATATCTAAAACAATCCAGCATATGATTTTGTAAGGAATGCTTACCTCTAAGACAGCTGACTTGATGGTAAATTGCAGAATGTAAACGGTAAACAGATGGTGCAGAAAATGTCGCTAGAATGACCGTCTTGCATCAAAATTCAGGTTTTAAACCTCTTCAGTGAAGTGTTCCGTACACTTTTTCTTCAGAGGCTATTTCAGTTAAATCAATTGTTTCTGGCAGACCGCCTTACTTTTTGAAGCCTGCTGGCAGAAGTTTCTGTCGATGAAAACCAAACGTCAAGGGTGGAGATCAAATAACAGACAGATCACAGCATGCAAGCGTCCTCTTGTCATCTAGGCCATTCGATGACGCAGTATTTAGTAAAAAGTTGTTTATGAAAGTTTAAAGCAAGCGGGTAGGTGGGAGAAAAACAAATCAGTAGGGGTCAAAATTAATTACAATTTTGAAAATCAATTCATCGAGATTTTGATTTAAGTGGCAATCAGAGTCGACTTGGCTGCATCATACTCAGTCCCTGCCGAAGCACGAGTTTATTAGTGTGTTGCCACGTTATTGGCTAAAGAACAGAGGATGTCACGCAACGTCTGGGGTAGTCTTCCATGATATTACAGTTCCTGAGCGTCACTGGTTCGTGAGCGACTTTAGATATTACTGAAGTGAACAGCATAAATTAAAAAAAGGGACATTTGACAATTAGAGAGCAGCAAATTTGGTACAAATCTTATATTCGACTATTCATTGTAAAAACGAACCACGTCCTCTTCTGTGATTAGGTGCTCTATCAATGATTGCTTACTTGACCTACTTTTCATCACTTTGGAATAAATATTTTTCCCGGAATAAGTTATACAAAGATGTGATATTTTGTTGCGTCTTCGAATTTTAACTTCAAATAGGCAAGGTTTGCTTTGTATGTGTAAGTAACAATAGCAACTCCGGAGGGTTGGTCACCTTTGAATTCTTCTTCAGGGAGCCATTTCACATTTCGTTTATCTATTGTTTGCTTCTTTTGTTGTAATTATCCGCTTGATCTGGAGCGTGATAAGCTTTAGAACTTTATTTTGCATTTTCCTGTTTAATTTTTTTCAAGCAAATACCAGGATCTGGTTATCAACCTCTGTTCGTTAAATGAGCCCGTGCTCCTACCATTCATCTCGGAAGGATCGAGCACGTCTCTCGGAAAAACGGAGAAGATCGGGCCCCAAACATTAGAGAGAATCGGTTGGCTTTGCGTATAAAAACGTATACAGCCCATAACACATCGGCCCAATGCATTTTGGGATAGGGGAAACCCCTGACAACATGAACATGTGCTTGATGGAACTGAAGTGTGTAGCAATTCAGCGGAAAATTGAAAACATTATGTAAGCAGATGGGAGCTGAGATCTCGCTGCCTAAATGGAAGGTAGCTCAGTTTCAGAGTACAGAAAATTTCTTTTCTCCTTGTGTGAAGAAATAACGGAAGGAAACCTACAAAAGTTGAAGTATTTATGCCTCGATCGATTAACAACAAGAGAATTGGAGGAGATAAACACCGCCACGAATTTGTTTAAATGCCTAGAGATAAAACAAGAGATAAGAAAAGACAATCTAAATTTGTTGGAGGATCTTCTTACGCAAATAGGTCGCTATGATTTAGTGGAGAAACTAAAGGAGTTCAAGAGCAGGCGCAGCTTTGATTGTGGCGCGAGTGGTTCCATTAAGTTTCAAGTTGATGATGACATGGAAGATGTTCCCGACGCTGCCGAGCCAACCGCGAATGTAGCTGGCGACAAAAATGATCCCACAGCTCTTGCTTCAAGTGGTGAGTTTGAATTATAAATCTGATATGTGATAAAAATTCAATAATGACTGCCTGTGTTTTTATTTTAAAAATTGAGCTGATGCGTGACAAGATATTGTTTTTATTCAGAGTCACGACGATGTTAAGACAATGTCTCTTTTGTCCACCAGACACTTTCTCTTTGGTTGCGATCCTGTGAGTACCTTAGACCGTCCAGGGTCGCAAATTTTGTAGTGTTTTTCAGGGATGCATGAAAAATGTGGAGAATGCAAGTTTTATTTGGAAATGATAGTGGTGAGGGTCCCCAATACCCTTTTGTAAAACCCACTCACGTAAAAATATTTGGCCTTGTCACGCATCACGAATAATATCTAAAACTACTTCACGTCACGCAAAATTCAAGACGATCGCACTGAACTGATATTTTACTTTTATCTTGTCGCGACCAATCTTTCACGACGAAAGATGACTTAACGTCTTATCTTATTTGTTAACTGAAGAACCATTAGTGATCTGTTTTATGACTTTTATTGATGCATCTGAAGTCCATCTCTTGTCAAAACCATAGTCTGAAAACCAAACCACAACCGTTCGAGAACAATGTACATTTTCTAGACAAAAAATAGCCGGATATTCATCACGCAAAACAACTAGTAAGCGAAGCACCTTAATTCAGCTTTGAATTTACGGGTCACGTTTGAATATAAAAATTCGCTCACGTGGACATGAAAAGATCTTATCGTCTCTAATCACGATTCACACATAAAAAAATAAAGTCACGATTCACGAGTAAAAAAAAAAAAACGTCTAACCACGCTTCACGTGAAAAGTAGACGGGACCTTCAATCGTGTTTTCAGAAATTTGACTCTCTAAAGTGGATGTCTATACATGTATAGCACCCCACTATAGCTATAAAGTTAGGAGTGTAAACATAGAGTCAGAATTGTTGAATACTGATCTTTTTTCAATCAACATATGAGCAACTTTAGTGAGCTGCTTCACAGCGCCACTAGACTGAGATAAAAAATTTCGAATAGTGCTATACTCATGCATTCTCTTGGTTAAACTTGTCATCAGTTGCTATCTGTTTTAATCTTGTCCATCCTTAATCTTTGTTGTTTTGCCTTTGTTCTTATGTGCTCCTTTTTTATTTTTCTACTTTACAAAACAAATATTTCAAAGTCCTCGAGTTGAGGTAATTTTGCTCGTCACACAAAATGACCCCAAACATTGAGACATATTCAAAGTATATTCAATTATTCATAAATGTCACACAAATCGTTTTCACGCATACAGAACTTTTCATCACGTGACTGAAATGTTTCGCTTTTCTACTCAGGGTCTGAAGAAATCATGTTGAGAGACGTCAGCGCAGACGTTTTTGAAGAACTTGGTTTTTTACTAAATCCTTCTTCATTTAAAAGTTGGAAAATTCTGGCCGGTAAGCTTGGCTACACCCTCACCCATGTAACAAATTTCAAATTGTGTCCAATGAACAGCACCCAAATGCTGCTTCAGGATTGGTCCTATCGTGGAGATGCTACAGTTCTGAAGTTGTACCAGACCCTCATGAATATAGGACGCGAAGATGCTGCCCAGAAACTGAAGAGGATTTTATCTCCTTCTCGTGGTACATTGTAGATCTTGTAGACGTGAAAGTTTTGTTTGCATACTATGACGATGCGAGTTATCTCCTGATAACGGAACTAAAACTTTTCTTAGGGCATGTGCAGGTTTTCAAATCCATCCTACTTAGCCGCCTCTACCACAAGAACCTCCTATCTGCTATTGTTGTTTTATTGTTTGAAATAATTAGTTTAGAAAAACAAGAGGAGTTAATGACTTGAGATAATAGCCCTTTTACTAGTAGAGCTAAATTTCTCATTTTACGTTTTATTGTTTTACCTCCAGCAATGTTATAAATAATGAGAAATATTAAGAAATATTAAGGCACGCACGCGTGTACTTGCGCTCAGGTAGCTGACAGTGAAATTAAGGCCCAAAGAATGGGGCACTTTCTTGGTTATAAGTTTGTTGCTAGAGCAACGTTTGGAGATGACAGTGTCGAGGCCAACCTCGTTGTCAGGGCGCTTTTCCTCTCAAATGAAGAGGGGTGACCCCTCCTCTTTTTTTAAATTGAGACTGAAATGGGTGCATGTTTTGTCAAACCTTTTAACGAAAAGAAAAGAACTAAGAAATTTAAGGTGGCTAGAGTTTCATTTGTTTGTTGTATAGTCTAATTTTATGATGTTATATAACTTTGTTTTTGTGATTAGAGTTACCTGTTCAGGAGAAAATCATCTGCTGCCAATCCTTGATGCTACAGTGACTTTGTAGAATATTTGCTTATTTCGAATAAGGCCATTGTTTGGAGCAGCGGCCGTCGTTGAATTTTCCATGGGTTTGAGTACAGGTTTAGGTTGATAAGATATACTTAGAGCGTTTAGAATAAAGAACTTGTTGACATCTCATTAATTTGAATCATACTCTTTCGGAGCTGCATTTAGGCATTTACTAGACGGAAAACCTGTCTAGATTTCAGGTATTCAACGAGGAAACAACTGCTTTCATTTATGGCACGGATTTTCGCTCCTATTTATAAAGTTGACCGCAGACAGTGAACAAGCTCAAGTTACAGGATGTGACATTGGCACGTCCTGCACTAATGCGTTTCAACAACAAACGCTGGTTTGTGGTTGCGGTCGATTGATTTTCCCCTTTTAGACACAGTGGAAGGATTATGCCCACTATCTTTGCTGACTCAGCATTAGTGATGATAAAAGGAAACTCAAGATTTTGAAAGAAAATATCGATCTTGATATTTTTAGTTTTTCCTCCAAGTCGTTTGTTGAGGGGTTAAAGCTTTCATGATTTCTCTTGACGGGTTCGTCTTGGGCCCCGAAGTGATCTCAACAATCATAGTTCTCATATATCGCTTTACCATTTGAAAAACATGAAGGAGCTGGCCGATGAATATAACCTAGTCCGAAACAATTTGCCTCACCCCTTAAGTATAGATGATTGATGGATATCAATATCATGCTGTGATGAAGTGAATTAGTTTCCCTTTAGAGTTCCTCTGGAGCTGAAACAGGAACTTCTCTTTCTCTAACTAATAAACAACTACTTAAATATAGGAAAAGTAAAAACTTGCTTCTGTGAGGAACTTAAGTACAGTCGAACCTGTAAGTGGTCACCCACGGGGAATGGCGGGGTGACCGCTTAATGCACGTTTACTGCTAAATAAAGGAGTCAAACGCGTTAACAGACGCTTTTCGTCCTTACAGTCTTAAGAAAGAAAATAATCTGCAATACCACAGGTCATTTGAACTCAAAGAACTGACATTGATTTCAGGAGATAAATATGGAATAAATTTGACTTGAAGGATTATTCTTAGTTTTATTTGAGTGGTTCTGCTTTAGCTGACCTTCCAATACAGGTGGGAGACAAAAAAAAAAAAAAAAAAAAAAAAAAAAACATTGAATTTAGTAAATGCTGACCACTTAGTTGCGGTTTGAATTCCTTTTTAATAAGGGAAAAAATGTCGGTACATTGACAACCGACATCCGACAACAGACTATCGACAACCGACCGCTTCATATAAGTTCAACTTTAATTGTTTGTTCAATTCCTAGATGGACGATGCCAGTGATACAGACCGTTTTTATCAACATTTTTTCGACACCAGCGCTAATTTTTAGGTTTTTTGTGTTAGGATTTTAGTGCAACATTTCGAACAGTAGATAAAATGCCTCCAAAATCTGAAAATTTGCCAAAGAATGGATTCATATGTCCAAAGTACACTGGGAAACCGCTTACTTGACAACTGGGAATTGCTCAATGCCGAAAGCACTTGAGATCAACCACGTGACCGTCGAAATTTCCTATTACGAGCTTGATCTAAGCTGATAGCATTTCCTTCCTACCGCGTGGCCAGATCAGGCGTCGAAAAGACTTCAATCTGTAACTTTAAACATTCGGTATTCAATCCTGAGATTGAAAGAGGAGGCTGTTTAGAAGGTATTCATGTACACAATTTTTTGTTTGTTGTTTTTTTGCTGTATGTTTCGGGGTAGTTTGGTACAATGACTTTTTAAGGTTATCAATAATTTCAGGCTGAATGTTACCGCCTCTATGTAGGGCGAGCGTTATCAATCAGAAATGTTGGCTAAATGATGATTCACTATTTTAAGCGGTTCAGTTTTCACATTTCACACAATGCCGTGGCTGGTTCCTAATTTTTGCTAAATTTCCTGAGTTATAATATCCAGTTAGCAGCGCAATATTAGATAACAACGACGAAGCCATTAGTAAACACAGCCATCGGGCTGATATAGAAATTATCTTGAACTTGTGACTTCCCGCCAGGCGAGATCCACCGTTCTATTTCGCTGATAGTTTTATTCTCAGATTTAGCGAGAAGAGTCGTTATTTTTTATTTACATTTTAAATTCTTATGCTCTGAAGTAAGCCAAGGTCACAACCGCTTGACAAAAGCTTACCTAGCAATATTTTTATTTTGTTTTCAGTCGAATAATTTCTTAACCGCTCAGGTTTTATCATAAGTTCCTTTTACACGCGATGAGGTTTAATCTTAAGAGTACTTCAGTTATTTCATTCAGGATGATAAAACCCGAAAAGAGATATATTGTTTTGACATCTAAGAGATCATATGACTGAACATACTTCGCACAAAAAAAACCCACGGAAATGAGACATAATTAGCTTTGATATTTACCGAACATTCAGTTAAACTGTCAATTTTTGGTTCCAATATGTAATTGAAACATCCCTAAAAGTTCGTACGTTGAATGCTCTACAACAATCGTGACGTTTATTTTCTGCTTTACACACAATCAGTGACAGTCTTTATAATAATCGAGAGTTTAACTGTTCCATTCTTTTGATAGGTTTCAAAACTCGGCAGAAATTAATCACCCGCAACAAATTTTCGAACGATTACGTGACGGTCAGAATAGGATCACTTCTCACTAAAAGACCTCTACTTTTCCGACCGTATCAGTTACGATTTATACAAAAAACTTAAAGAGACCGCCACGAAATATGTCATAATTCTTCATTTTATAGAAAAAAGAGACAAAAAGAAAGGGAAAAAAAAAAAAACACGCGCGAGTGTGAAAAGAGTATGTCTCGACAATACCTTTGCTCGGCAGGTATTGTATTGATGTTACCGTAAACATTTCCTTTAAGAATTCAAATGCTCTCAAGATCTTGCATAGATATTGTGCCGTTCTAATCTTTCGTCAACTCCCCAATAACAAGGAAATATTACATGTAAAATGTTTCAGAAATTATTCTTCTGAGGCGTAACTCCGGCTACACATCATTCTGTCGAAAACGTGAAAAAGCTGTACCACGCTTCCAAATCAAGTTACAGTTTATTCAATTGATTTTATGATTTTATTACAACGCTTCGGTTAACTCCCACTCACAACCCTTAGCTTATTTGAAAAAGACACTAAAAACGTGGGGCAGCAGGCACGTGGAACAAGGCCATATATGGGCGTTAAAAAAAATAAATAAAACGTGACAGATAAATGCTATGTAGCAGACAAACTAAATCACTTACAAATGTCAATAAAATTAAGACGAATTAACGTATCGTAAAAGTTTCAACAACTCTTATAGTGATTATTACTTCACTTATGCTGCGCTAATGCTCCCTTGGGTCGTCAATCAACACAGACAGGATTTAACTGGGTCCTTGACATTGCTTATGACAAAAAGGAGAATCACTCAACACGATAGCTCTTTTTTTAAGTATTTGTTTTTCTGCTTGTGTGGAGGATTCATTTGCATGTTATAACATGCAAATTAGCAAATTGGGCCAGCTTAAATAAATCTTTGAAAATTTAAAATATGTGAAGTCATTACGCCTTGAATGGAGAAGAAAAAAGCCAAGTCTGCGATCATTTTAAAAGTATTCTCTGCGTCTCTTATTAGACTCGGAAAATTAGTTTCATTTTTATATCTTCCGCTAACTTAGTTTTTACTAATTAAATACACGGTCAGTAACCTTCAAGCTTGATGCTTTATAGGATTAGTGGAGTTGATTAACAATTACGATGTTTATGATGATTGATGATGATATTTGTTTGGGTCGAAATTCTTCCTTTTCGTTCATAAGCGGAACAAGAGAAGCGAGCCGGCAAGGGCGATAGTTCTCGTTTTATACACATGCTGTACCTTTTAATGGCTTAGCTCTCCTCCGGGTTCTTTGTAAATCAGTGGTTGAGCATCCAAGCGGGAAATCGGAAGGTTGAATGATCGATACTCAAAAATTCGGAAGTTTTCTTTGTCTCTCGCTCGGATAACATCTTTTTCCAAGACTTGCTTCTTTAGGTGCAAGGCAAACATGAGGAGGGGAGGGAGAGGGTGAGTCCACTCCGTCACGGTATGATCACGCATGGACTATAGGAGAACGGAATCAGTTCAAAAGAGTTACAACTGCTCAAAAATATAAAAATCTGGCATCTTTCTAATAATTTTTATCGATGAATAACTTAACAGATGTTACACACACACACACACACACACACACACACAAATATGTTTTCGTTTGAGAAGCTAAGATGTTTTCGGACAGAACCAAGGAAAGCGACGTCTAGGCCTAAAGCGAAAAGAAAAAACGTTTCCATAGTTATTTTCATCAACAGATCTAGGATTATTGTGTTGTCCACACCTTTTAAAAGAATAAGCAATAAATGACACAGCTACGGATAAGTAAATTTTTTTTCATTTAGAGGCGGTGCTTGGTAATTATTTGCAAGTTTACAGCTCGCTCTCCATTTTTATTTCCGGTTTCACTAATAAGTTAGTGTAATATTTGACCCGCGAGTCTGGCGCGCGTAACAGAGTGAGTTAATGTCTGGTTTTGCCTGCCATGAAGAACTACTCGTCACGCTTTTGTATACATTAAACACAAAAAGGCGAGATCCTTTGTTCCTCTAAAATTCTAACGCATTCTTAGCTTCTCCCCTAAAACTATGAGTCTCTCTGCCAGATATGTTTTATGTATATTATATATATAAACATATCTATATTTTATTTCGATATATTCGAACGTGATAGAACACCGAAGCATGAAAATCAGTCTTGACAGCATGAAATCGCAAATTTACGCATCTTTAACTCCTGCGTAAATTGGCGATTTCATGCTTAGCGTTCTCTAGGATCACGAGGAAATAACTCTCGCACGTTTCGTAGTAACATATACCAGCCGGGAGGCTCTTGCATGTATGCAATACTGTTAATGAAATCGTTAGCTAAAGGTTCCAGTTCTCTCACTGTATTTGTATCATATATTCCTTCACTCTATTTCGTTTTAAGCACTTTTATCCCTCATTTGTTGAGATTTTTTTATTGAAACTCTCGTCAGGACCTTTCGAGGTTAATTTTGGCTCTCGCTGCTTATGTGTGCCGGAAACATGTACGTGCTAAAATGATGTGTTGGCATCATTATGAAATATTTTGGTTAGTACCATGATTACGTAACAAGGAAGCAAAAAGATCCTTGAAAAGCGGGTAGACCGTGAAGAAGACCTAAACATAGAAAGAACACTTTTAAAAAGTTCCAGCGGTCATAACCAGGTTGGGTTTTCGCGCAACTCTCTACACCTGTTAGCTGAAAAAGTAAGCTTTTTCTCAACCTACAATAGTTAGCTTTCAACTTTACAAGAGCTGTTCGTGACTTATGCCGTTCGTTGTATCAGTTGCCGTGAGAAATGGTAAACACCAATTCAATAGAAAAACTGATCACGTACCAATTCAATAGGGAAAACCCCTTCAGACCTAATTATAATACCGCCTCAGAAGTAATACCCGACATAAACATGCATGAAGAAAAAAAGAGCGGCATACATGGTAAACTGATTTACTATATAAATCACCTGATAATTTTCTATCGCAAAATTTGAGCGAGGCTGTAGAAGAAGTCCTGACAATTCAAGACTGCAAAGAAAGACAGAAAGGTACAATAATGCAACAAAATAAAGCAACATTACAGTGATCATTGGAATCTCGTGGAGTTTTTGTCGATTAGCTGAGGAAAAAAAGCTTCAAGCAATGCAGCTCTTACTATTGTGGTCATATTCCAAGGATCAACCTTTTAATTTCGCGGCTGCGCTTTTAGGCCCGCTGTATATTCATGATATTCAAGATTGAATTCACTCTATTACCGACACACTTTCACAGAAAAGATCAGCATTGCAAGTGTCTGACTTTTTTTGTTGTTGTTGTCACCAGTGGGTACTGGCTATTGTCGGTGTTTAGTACGGCAGTAGGATAGCATTTGTTATTTAGAATTTATATTATCAATCTTTCCCTATTTGGGCCATTCCGTCATTCTTCTTTAGTTTAAACT